CTCTCTCTCTCTCTCTCTCTCTCTCTCTCTCTCTCTCTCTCTCTCTCTCTCTCTCTCTCTCTCACACACACACACACACACACACACACATACTCGTTCTCGTCCGCCTCCACGCTCCACGCCTGCCATGTCCCCTTCGATGCATGCATATTGGCTGCCTGCTGGCGATCGCAACGCTCCCACTGCCGGCGTCTCGCCACACGGTATGTCCCCGCACACCCCCCGACAGGCGGCGCAGCTCGTCTGGAAACCCGACGCACATGAACCCGCCCTCGCCCTGCGTCCCCGTGCACCCCCCGTCCCCCTGTACACCCGACGCACACCGGGGCGACCGAATCGACCGGCGGGACGGGTCCGGTAATGACCGCCGCTCGGGCGAAGACGGGATCCGCCGAACACCGGGAAGACCAATTCGAACCACGATACCGGTCCACAATGGGGCCGTGGCAGCGGGTGCGGGTCTGGCATGACGGCGGGGTCGCCTTTGGGAAAGCACCGGGTCTCCCGTCTGGGACCCTGCCACCGGCGGCGCTGTCTCACGTGGGCCCGTCACGCGAGACCCGCCTTTTCCTTTAAGGTATTAGAGACATGGAAAGATACACCACCATGATTTTTGTGTTTTGTTCATGTCGAGAGTAGTGCAGTAGTGCAGTGATGTGTATATGTTTTTTCCTTTTCTTTTCTCTCACCAGATTCGTTTTTTGTTTTCTGTAGATTCGTTTTGTCTTTTTTTGTCTTTTAAACTTCTCCAGCCATTTTTCTCCGACACGGATGCATGCACGCCACAACTTTTGGGGGTAGGCTGCTGGAGCACAATGGCTGGCGGCGACAGACAAAAGGTTTCCTCCTTCAATGTCCTGCTCCCTGGACAGAGGCCAGGCGGCAGGGAGTTCGACAGGGAGTTCGACAGGGAGTTCGGCAGGGAAGCAGGAGCTCAGGCTAGCAGCCAGGGAGATGGGGGGTGAACCCAGAAAGAGGTTGACCAGAGGGGAGGTGGAGCAGTGGAGGGCAATGGCTGAGGAGACCAGTGCACAGATGGACCAATTGGCTGGCCAACCTATGCAGAGACAAACTGACTCACTCAGATGGATGGAAAATGCTTAGGTCGATGTATGGATGTGTGCCTCTGTGTGAGAGAGAGAGAGAGAGAGAGAGAGAGAGAG